CGTGGGTTTTCTCCGGGTACTCCGGTTTCCTCCCACAGACCAAAAACATGCATGTTAGGCTGATTGGTAACTCTAAATTATCTCTAGGTGAGAGAGTGAATGGTTGTTTGTCTCATTTGTCTCTATGTGTCCCTGTGATGGACTTGCGACCTGTCCAGGGTGTACCCCGCCCCTCGCACAATGATTGCCGGACATGGGCACCAGCGACCCCCGTGACTCAAAATGGAAGAAGCGGGTAAAAGATGATGGATGGATGGATGGATGGATGGATCATCAAATGCTTAAATGAACTTGCACCCAAACCATTAAGGAATTGTACAGAAACTGCAGGGCTACGGCAGATCTACCAGAGCGGCTTTAAATGGCGACTGTAAGGTTCCTTTTCATAGAACCACTTTTGCTCAAAGTGCTTTCTCTGTGAGAGGATCTGCAGTTTGGAACTCATTCCCTGTCAATTTAAAATCTGTAACCAGATTCAATATGTCTTAAAAACAAACTAAACTTTGGCTGTGTCAAAAACTGCATTGCATTCATGTTTAATGTTATTTATTGTTATGTTTTAATCCATTTGTTTTATATGTATGACTCATCTAGTTTAGAAATAGCCTTTAGTTTTGAGATATGATCTTCCATTTTGTCTAAACAAATTTAAATGAGTGTATCTTTTGCTTCACCTCTGCTGCCCCTCTGTAACAAGAATGCACAGCAGCACCTACTTCATTGTATCTATGGGGCAGCACTGCCCCCTATCGGTGTGGCAAGGTACATTCTGCTGCACCTTGTCTTTTTCAGTGTGCAGTACGACCGATTAGAAAGCAGCACATGTGTAATCAAACATGCATATTAGCATATAAAGAGAGACAGCAATGGGCATGTACCAACTGCCTACTTCATATATTGTATATGACACAGCGCCCCCAGAGGTGAACCAGAGCACCACACTGCCTCGCCCCACATTGTTTGAACAGGCAATGTGTAAAGTCTTCAATTTTAACCATTGAAGTGTTGAAATAATTCAGAAAACTGTTTTTTGTTTTATCATATCTATCTGATAGATTCCAGTTTGTAAATGTAAATAATAAATCTTCTTCATACACCAAAGTTAGTCATGGAGTTCCTCAGGGCTCAGTGTTTGGGCAAATACTCTTTACTTTATATATGCTTCCTTTAGGTAAAGTTATTAAACAGCATGGGATAAATTTTCATTGTTATGCTGATGACATACAATTATATTTGTCCATTAAACCCAATGAATCCAATCAGCTACTTAGACTACAAGCATGTCTTAAAGACATAAAAACCTGGATGACCCTTAATTTTCTCCTGTTGAACACAGACAAAACTGAGTTTTTGGTTTTTGGACCTGAGCACCTTAGGAATGAATGTTTCAGTCTTTCTCCCTCCTTAGATGGCATTAATCTGTCCTCCAGCTCTAATGTTAAAAATCTTGGTGTTATTTTTGATCAGGACATGTCTTTTATCCCCCACATTAAAAACGTTACTAGAACCTCCTTCTTCCACCTGCGTAATATCACTAACATTAGAAACATCTGATCTAAAGATGATGCAGAAAAACTGGTCCATGCATTTGTCACATCTAGACTGGACTAT